AGGATTCGTATAAAATGCAGTGCCATCGAATGTGGTGTTTATGAATTCCCACCGTAAGCTCTGTTATTCTGAGAGGTCATGTAACTCATGTGGACTTGTGGTTCGGTGTTGTGAAACCTTGTGTCCGATCCTTTCGAAACCACAAAAGACCACAAAAATATTTCAATTTTAAATATTATTTTAATCTCGGAGAAAAAAACCTGTACAAATTAAGTCCTGCATCAAATAAAAACCACCTTCACCCGCGACACTTTGGCCAGTAGTTTTGAGAAAGCCCTTCAACGTCTTGCCTTTTTTCCCCCTCCCCACAGCCACGGAGCCAACATCCTCGAGAATCGTGATTCCGGCCACCTTCTGCGCACGAAATTCGTCGGCGTCGACGAAGGCGGTGTGGTGACAGGGTTCGCTTGTCTAGACACACCCTACCTCGTCTGACTTGTGCCTTTCCATGCTTTCCACCCTGCTATGAGTGTGCTTTGGGGATGCTATCTGTTTCGCTCCCAAATGTACCACCTTTAAACAACCTCATAGACCCACAAATCGGTTCTCGGTTTGTTTAGTAGAATGTATGTAGTGGGATTTCTCAAACAAGATATCAGTGTTGCTGACGCTACCTCGACTCATGCTGGTAATTCGTTGTTTTCCGGTGTGATTTAGAGCAGTTGATTTGGTGAGAGATGCGTGGTATTTAAGCGCCCTTCTTGGTCAGCAACTTTAAACCCCCCCTGTGTTGGATTGTCTTACCATGTGTTACCAGCAGACCTGTGGACTAAAAAATCGCTAAGCGCACGTAACACGTCCTATTTACTTATTGGCTGACATTGATTTAACATGCAGCACACGGCAGTGGAGCGTCTAATTTATGCATTTAAACCTCGCGTGTGTTTATCTCAATAGTCTGGCCAACGGACGGTCTTGCTCTCCTAGTCGTGTCCAGTGCATGCGAGCTGATGCACTCTTGTAGATCACGGATTAGCGTGGTGGATGTGTTAGCACGGTAGCCGACGTGATGCGAGTTAGCGAGATTTACTAAAACCCTATTTGAACGTTACCAGACGTGGTTCAATCAATAATCCATAAAGGCGTCGTGATTCAGGGCTTTCATTAATCAAGCAATTCCTTCCCCAGACCCAGAACATCTGTGGTGGCTTGAGGTCTAGCGCCACCTTACAACCGTCTAGTTAACAGCCCGTAACAACCCGGGAATGGAGGGAAGCGAGGCGACAGAGGACACGACCGTTTATTAGCGTCACGCCAGCCAAGTATGTGTCTTAGTGTGTGGATGAGTGAACAGATGATAGGCATTTGATAGCATTAACCAATGGAAAGGAGTCATTGTCGCCGTCAGGTCGGTAACCAGGGTTCGCTCAGACTCAATTGCTGTTAATCCGCTACACATCTTCACATTTAACTCGCTTTGAAGGATTGGACGATGATGTGGTGGGTTTACTCGTGATTGAGTGGCCCTCTTTCTGGTCTGTTAGTCGTTCCATTGGCTTTAGCAGTTCAGCTTGGTTAGGACTTTCGATTAGTGCCGATTTCAATTCCTTGTATGTCGACGTATTGACTCAAGTGTTTGGTTTCATCTCGCCAATACCCCCCCCCCGCTAAATTTCTGATCTACCTACACATAACGAATTGTAAAGTGGTGTTACATTTTGATGAATCCAAGTGGCCATTTCATTGGACGAGGTCTGTGCTTTGAGCTACAGTAAATGAGAGGAAGATTACTACACGGGTTAGCCATTAAGCAGATAATGGCGTAACAGCCTCATTAAAAAAATTGTTGGTGAGTCAGAGACGTAAGCTACAGACAGGGAGACCGAGTGCCCGTCTAAAATTTGATAAGGAAATGCTATTTTGGTGTGAAGATTTGTTTCTGTATGACGTGGTCTAAGACGGTTCAGTCGGAAAAGATGGCACGTGGAACGTAGTCCAGAGTGGGCGGCAGTGTAGAGACGTAAAAGGTCGCAGACGCATTGGACCGCGCCGGTCTCAGCCAATCCTCTGTATTTTTGCGTTTGAATGCAATGCTAGGAAGATATGTAGCCAACCAGAAACAGACAAGCATAAAAAGCAGTATGTAAGGAGGGGCGCAGCCATTGTGGGGGAATCAAACCGTGGAATACTAGTGATTCGTGGCCATTTGCATATATCCTCTTCGAGTTGGGACTCGGATATTTTGCATGCCGTAAACAGAAGGAATAAAAGTAGGTCCAAGGACGATTTGTGCAAGTCAAAAGTGTAAAATTAATGCGTTTTTTCCACCTAATTTTCCTCAAGCAAACAGCATAGACAGCAAATTCCTCAAAATTAGGAATATCTTAAACCTAAGTGTAACCAATGAATCAATTTTGGGGTACCCTCTAAAAATATTGACAAATCATTTAAAATTGGTTGGTAGAATACCCGAGCCCTAATAGGTAAAATACTGGTACAACAGAACAGGCTTTATTGACCAATCAGAAGCCAGAGCCACGCGTCAGGCGCCTTCCATCCGAGTCCACCGCGCTGGCCACGCCGCTCATTATATACTGCATCCCATCCATGTCCTTCTCTGGCTGGCTGCCTTCCTTTCCCGCAGGCCATTGGATCGCAGAGAGACACGGGATTGGCTGAGGCCAGGTGGTCCAACATGTCTGCGCCT